GTACAGGCTCTTGCTGAGTATCTCTTGTTGATGTTCCAATATCAAGGATAATAGTGCCTTTTATATTGAACCTCCTGATGCCGTGTGATTGAACCTCCCGTACCGTGTGATACGTTCAATTGAACCATCCATGCAGGCTTGAGTTAGGAAAGTTCTATCTTGCTCAGTCGGGCCTTCGACAGCTAACCCGAAGGAAAAATAACCCCGTGTTGTTAAGGACGTTTAAATGAGAACATCGGGGCAATGTGAACATAAAATAAAATGAATTGTTGAATTGACAGTGCGAACACATACAGAAAATAAAAGTCATCGTCATCACCATATTCATCGAGATCTTTACCATCATCATCTTCACCATCATCACCTACATCATCATCATCATCATCATCATCATCACCATCATCATCACCATGAGCATCACCATTATCATCGCCACTCACAGACTTAAAATTTGAATATAATTTTCTTTTTATCTCCATTTTTTTTATTTGACAAATTTAGGATACCCCTCCCCCCCCCCGCCCCCCCCCGCCCACCTTTAATCCACCACTGGATATTATATAATTGATATAGGCCCTATGTCCTACAGTTGATGTCAGGGACAAATTATGTTAGATACCCCCTATGGTAGGGGCCCCTAGGCGTTACGCCACTGTATAACAAGCATTTCAACAACTTTCAGGCATCATCTTTATTTATGAAATTGCATTGTGGTCGAAACGTGGTGGACCAACCCCTTAATCCCCCCCCCCCTCCATGATCTGCGCCCATGTCCGCACTGGACCTAAAGTTACCATTGCCTTTTGAATAGGCCTATTGTTTTTAATAACTAGTACTACTAATTAGCCCCGTATATGACTCATCAGGTCACGGACAATTATACCGATGTTATTCCTATCATGTTTTAATTAGGCCTTGTCATACTCGGTACTCCTAATTAGACGAAAAACAACAAACTGATTCCTAACATTGTCATAAATAACCCCAATCGATGACAGCATTGTGCTTATACGTTTATGTCAAAATCAAAATTTGTCATCTTGTTTTTTTTTTGTTTTTTTTTGCGGCTGAGCGTCACGGCCTCATAAGTGCGCAAATAGCCGAATGTTAGTAACAAATTAATGTTATTTCCTGTGAATTATTTGGTGAACTTGTAAACGTATTCAGGGACATGAAGTGAAAACCATCGTCATTTAATCAAGTGTTAACAAAACTATCGATCAAGCTGTAAGCCTCTATTAATTGCATTTTCTTCATGTCGGTGTCATTTCCGGATCCGATTGTTATCCTTCTTTGCTTTGTTGCTTTCCGTTTTCAGGAGGTCGTTACCAGATGTACTACACTGCGTATTATTGTCACAAAATCCATCAATCATTCTCGTATTTTCGAAAACCGCTCATGAATGTTAAACATGAGTGACATCGCATGGAAACATGAATACACTAGCCTATGTTTTTGTATTCTTCGAGAATTAAAATTAATCTACAAATAATTAATTATAATTTCAACTAATAATTAATAAAATACAACTTATATTTTAGCATTGTAACAATAGGTCTATTTTCATGTGAAAGCCAACAACTTATTTCTACTTACTGACTGTTGTAGAGTTATATATTGTTTATATGAACGAGAAAATACAAAGTTATTGTGATTTTTTTTTTTAATTGTTTTTCTCATTTTTTTCAAGTCACGTTATATCCTTAAATCAACACATGTGGTGGATTACCGGTATATCTTTTATTGTCATAAGAACTATCATAGGTCTATGAAATAACATTACAATATATATGCTCTGATCATTTTCATTGATTTTCTCCAATTGGCTAGGAGAATTCAATTTTTAAAATTGTTTAATTTTGTGCTTGATAATTTCTTTTAGTTTTTTTTTATGTTGTTTGCGTCAGGAAAACATGATTTGTTTGCCCACCTGACGTGTTACCGTACTGAATAGTCAGTAGGCTTACGTCCCAAAATGCGAAGTGATTCGGGTGGGAATCGAACCCACGATCTCCAGTTAGTTTATTTTATAGAGGAATATTTTCCACAGGTCATTCTAATAATAAGTGATAATGTTCAGGCCAGGTGTCTCAATATGGGCACCATATCTTGTGTACCCTGTTAGCTCATAACTATGTCCCATTTGAGGGCTGGCGGTCTCTGTGATTTTTATGTTTATATCTATATATATAGTAGGCCTGTTTACATTGTGCCAAGTGTCTAATAAGTAAATACGAATCCGCTATAAAGAGCAAACACACACGGGTACTTGAAATCACTGACATGCAATTGAAACAGTACCGGCGTACTTATTATTTTTTCAATATTTCATTTCATGCCTCCGTTCATGTTCTGTGATAGCATTCCTTCAGTCCATTCATCATAATAAGCCTAGTATGTACAGTATTATGAAACGTATCGTGTAGGTATTTCACTGACATTGTAGGCCGAGTATGATTGGCGTAACTATGCGGCTAGAACGTTCTTCAAATCCCATATGAGCCATTCCTTTCGTCTTCAGTCGGATGTTTGCCAATGCTACATTTTTCAAATAATGCGTTGATGATAAGTTATCGTTTAGGCCTACACATGAGTAAATATGGTGACGATGCTTCAATGTCAGTCAGTAGAAGAAACTTCTAAATAATATTTCTTTTCACTTTTGTTATTTGGTCTACTTAAATTAATATTCTGTTTAATGATATAATTGAGGCGAGTGTGTATACTTAAACCAAAACAAGGCCATGGAAACCTCGCTAGGGGTGAGCGTGAATTTACGTTTTATTTATTGGCCACATCAGACCCAAAACTCAGTAAACCTGACTTGAACTTTGTTCAGACCTTATAGGACCTATTTTATATTCCAGCAAACGCTAAGTGGGGCTACAAACAAGCCGGTATTGACACGTTCAGCCTGTAAATATCACGCCCGAGTCTTGATGCTGATGACAGAATTTAATTTGTTTCAATATAAGACATTAGTCACACTACACATGAACATTAACTCCTACCACTGCCGCCCTTCGCTCATAAAAAAACACCACTTTACTATTCATTTCAACGTTCTTAGCTTTATGTTGCCATGGCAACGAAATTAGACACGCGATATTATTAGATCACTAGTGGGAAAATATACATTTACATATTAATGGAGGACATCATGTCTTATGAAAATAATTAAAATGTATGATACAGGCTACCATGCATCGTAGTTCATTGTGCTGTAGGAGATGGCGGGCCGGGTAAATTTTACTTTGAACTTTTGACGTTTATTGGACAGTTAGACTTGACAATTAAATGTATCAAGTAAATGTCTCAATTTATATAAGTCTAAAAGCTTTGAAATGCACACCATGCCCTTGAGGCTAGTTGTCAAATTTACTACAAGCGACTCAGTGTTTATTATGTACATAGTAACCAATGACGACAGGCGCTCGTCCTAACAAAACTCACGCTTTGATTATGGGACCACAAGTTGAGAACCTCTAGCGGACACACCCGGAGGTGTCTTACATTAATGGAGGACATTATGTCTTATGACAATAATTAAAATGTATGATACAGGCTACCATGCATCGTAGTTCATTGTGCTGTAGGAGATGGCGGGCCGGGTAAATTTTACTTTGAACTTTTGACGTTTATTGGACAGTTAGACTTGACAATTAAATGTATCAAGTAAATGTCTCAATTTATATAAGTCTAAAAGCTTTGAAATGCACACCATGCCCTTGAGGCTAGTTGTCAAATTTACTACAAGCGACTCAGTGTTTATTATGTACATAGTAACCAATGACGACAGGCGCTCGTCCTAACAAAACTCACGCTTTGATTATGGGACCACAAGTTGAGAACCTCTAGCGGACACACCCGGAGGTGTCGGTGCATTGGATCTGAAACGCACAATGCTCGCTTTTCACTGAACTGACACCATAAAAACCAACGCCTTTAAAGTCTTAGAATTAATCCATCACTATTTCGTTCATAAAATATTTGGGTTGTGTCGCAGATAAAAGAACTGGTTATGCCGATGAAGCGTTACTTCTTAAAGGTAGGCTACCTTTTATTCGGATACTTGAAGTATTGTACAGTACTGTTTTGTTGAATTAAGCAAATAACCCCAGAGGCACTGATTGGATCGCAACAGTAGGTGGGTACAAACAATACCATTCGGAGCATACAAGATAAGGCACCATTGTTAAATCATATTGGACAGGACATGTTTGTAAATACTTCTCAGATTGTGTTGTTAATCTACAAGATAGCAACCAGTTCAACTGTCAATAACAAAAAAAAATTGTGAGTGGATCCATTTCTCTTTTGACAATCGAACTCGAAAATTTGAACAGATGAAATCAAGAAGGTAATGTGGACGTCTCAAAAAAAGGAACGCCGGCACATCAGCCAAGTAAATTTTTCATTAGCTGCCGAAAATTATGTCATTCATTCGCTTAATTTAACATGGAAACGTTACTACAGCAACCACGTCGACCTGACCTTAGCATGACACTTACTTCATATTGAACCAGTTTCAAGATACACCTATTGCCAAGGGACAGATCGACGCGCCGTATTGAACGCGATTTAATCGTCCAAAAAATTAAATGATGGATTCAAAGTTTTTTTTTCTGTTCAATTAAAATCGATTTCGTTGCATTATGACGTCATAACGCCCATTAATAAATATAAATACGTTTGTCAGATGTTTAATTTACACTTGACCTGAATATAGGCCTTTTCCGAGTTGAGATATCTGCTGTCTGTAGGCCTGCGTATTGTATTGTGAACGACCGAGCCGTGACGGAAACACTGCGTTTAATTTCTACAGAAAACCAGGGAATTTAATGGTCTAGACTGGAGTAAATCAGCTATTCACGTAACCTTTCACAAACAATTTCATGTTAAACAATATTTATGACCGGGACTGGCGATGACGTCGTGGAGTGCGTGCAAAACTGTCGTTACCATGGATTTGTTTTGAGCCGTTGACGACTGTTGCAAAGAAAGTAGGACTTTTATCGGTGTATTTTAGCGTTTTATAGTCAGCCATGACTAACAGGTTGTTTGATGCTGTAGCGTCCATTCGCTATCGCCAAATAGAAATACTTCTTCAGTGTGGAGTTGATATAAACAGTAAAAATCATGAAGGTAAAACTGTACTTATGATAGCATGTGATATACAAGATGACAAGAAACGGTATAAAATGTTCCGCTATTTAGTACACAAGGGATCGGACGAATTTGAAACAGATCAGGAAGGGGTAAGCGTCTTTCAGCACGCATGTCGAGCCGGGAGGACAAAGATACTAAAGAGGATGATGAAGGAAAAGGGCCTACGGTTTGTTCATTTATCATGGAAGGACAATCACAACCGCTGTGCATTGTTTCATGCCGTATTGTGCGGTAAAATAGATATTGTCCGAAGGATACTTATAGCCATGAAAAATCAGGGAATTTCGATTGATCAGGTTGACGCAGATGGTAACACATCTTTGATTCTTGCATACAAGCGAAAATTTCCTAAAATAGCGGAACTGTTACTTAACGAAGGGAATGCAAACCCAAGAATATGTGACCGAGAGCGTCACCTTAGTGCCGCCGAATGGGCCGAGGTTTGTGACAATGAACTAGATGAGGAAAAGAAAATCAAAAGTGAAAAACACCGTGAGAAAAACATGATTTTTCCTAGAATAGATCATGTGGTATTTAGACGTAAACAGGCAAAGAAAAGACAAAATTACATGTATCGGTTACCATTAATGGATGATAATATCACTGAAAATAGCCTCGATTCCTATCGAGGTAATGCGCATATCCAAAGGTATCCACTTAGCAAGTCTTGGGCAGGAATCCAAAGCCAAACACAAACATCAGAAAGTGCAGTGTATTCGCACGTGACAAGAGGCAATCAGATGCAGTCTGACCACGGAAAGTCCATAGATTCTGCCATGGAGCTTCTTGAACTGGCATCAAGAGCTGGAGGTAAAAGACACTATGCAACGTCATTTGTTGGCAGTGAACTTGACACCACTAAATCATCAATGGATGATGGCAACATGATCTCTAGTATGATGGCAACTTATTCAATTCAAAACTCTCAGTCGTTTAGGAAGACAGTAAAACCACAACCAAAACCGATCCCGCGTGCGCCTACAAGAGACAAAAAGCGTGTCTCCACATTAGCCATTATTATGAACAGAGGAAGCAGGTCGTCACTGACGGGATCGCGGGGACGCAGGGGATCTCGTCCAACGTCTCGAGTCTCAGGTAAGGCTTCTAAAAGACAATCTAGGCCTGCTACTCGTCAAAAGAAAAATGGCCAACATTCGTCGAACAATCAAAGGAGATCCTCGACAGTTCAGGTGCAGAATGCAGATTTTCATAAACCATCAGCATCTGGCGACGTCAATTTCAGACGATCACTTGAACTAATACCTGAAGAAAACGCATCAAATAAAACACAGTCCAAGAAATCGCTAAGACACAGTCAGTTTCCGGATATAGGAATTCGCTTGGTGACACAAGGCGTGAGGTGATAACAATTTCGATTTAAGTTATTCTAAGTCACCAGTGCCATTCTGCTATTGTGTTTTTCATGGAATATATTACGCAGCATTACATGTTTAGACGAGCGCAGCAGTTATTATAATAAAACTCGAAAAATTATATTATTTTAATGCATTTGTTATCAAAGAGAATTTACCAAAATAACCCATAAGCAATTAATTTTCATTGTGTGCTCAAATAAGCATATATTGAGGAGTTATTATGTCGTCATTATAACTTTAATAGTATTAAAATCTAAACACTTCTAATTGTCATCATGCCTCTTCAAAATAATGATTGTTCGCTTTTATACAATTTATCAAAATATAGTTATTTGCTTACATAAGAAGACGTGATTTACTTTCCTTTGCTATGTTTTACTATCAATGTTTGACTATGTAGGGATAAAATGAATATAAATGTAATGGACTATGGAGCCTAGAAACGAATGGTATTTTACTGACACTGACATTAATTTTATTTAAAAAATATTCAAAAGTGAAAAATATCCATCTCGAGGAAGCTATAGTTTAAATGGATTATTCCTGAAGATAACCTACATCACAGTAGTAGGCCTGGCCTATATCTTATAATAATCATGAATTATTATGTAGACAGTTCCGGTGATGTATACAAATGTTAAGGGGTTTCAAGCAAGAAGTTCTGAAATAAAAAAAGGATTTTCAAGGTACGAGAAAGTTTTTCTTATTAAAAAAGAAAAATAGCATCTATTGGTATTATCATTATTTCTTTTTATAACTATTATCCTAATTAAACGAACGAAAATAGAAACGAAAAATTAAACAAATTCAAAGACAGATTTTAAGAACACTGATTTAGCCTGTTTGTTATTAACATTGCAAGGGCGGACCGTCTAAGTTAGAAAAGAAAAAATGATCGTCCAAAACCCCTTAGGTTATATTCGGGCGTCTACAACACAGAAATTTTGCGGGGGTATGGACCGAACCGAGGGTAATGCTATCTTAATCGGACCCACTTTCGCCCCCACTTTTCGGACATCTATGGATCCGCCCCTGCATTATATGTATGTATATGTTTATCATCTCTTGGCAACATACATATAGTGCCTTAGTTATTATATGTATATATGTATGCCTTGAGAGTGAGAGGTCATAGTTTCGAATCCCGTAAGAGGCATTTTATTACAATTTATTTATTTATAGGACAGCATTCGTTGAGAGCTATGCTATACGATGTACTATCATGTCCTTTATTCAAAAATGTATTTATCTTTCTTTAATGATTTATATATATAACAGTGTTAACGGCTATCTTGATTTTATATTATATGTTATACATATATATATATATATATATATATATATATATATATATAGGCCTATATATATAGGCCTATAGGCTACAATATTGCTTCCTCATTAAATATGATGCTTATCATTATTTATCCGTATGAAGTTGTAAAATCAAATGAATGCAAACTTTGCGTGAGGTATCATTCAACTGCAAACTTTGGTTTTACTGTATTGTCTTCAAGATCATTAGCTACAAGAGCACTCATATCTGTGTTTGTACTAAAGTAAAAACACTACTAAGGTTTAATGTGTTCACAGAATATATATACACAGTAGCCGTGCTGTCTCAAAACCTGTTCTATTTACTCATTAATGGAGCTAACATAATGCCGAACGCGTTGTTTGCTTGACAACGAAGAAGTACAATAACATCTCCATGTTTGTTTTATGATAACTATCGACTTTTAAAGTATTGTTATTGTGCATATGATTAAGCGTCGCCATTGCCACAGTACTTTGTTGTCGAGTTCATCCATTACGTGAGAATAATAACGAGTATAAATGAGATAAGTGTTAAATTTCATCCCGAACTTTATACTCTTGATCACGTGATCCGTCCTTAATAAATTTATGTTCAGTAAGGCCAGCTCTAAATGATAAGTGCAATTGCTGAATGTTTAAAAGCGATACCCTAGCATTAATCAATTTCTCATTATATATTTACACATAAAAACATCATCATTAATGTTCATCACTATAACACCGATAATGCACTTGGACAGGTTGTTATTATAGTTTCTAACATACATTACAGCATTTATATAGCGATATTTCTTTCATGAAGATCAGAGGGCTCAAAGCGTGGGCTATATTATATCTCTTCCAGTAACTTTATGGACCAGTAAGCCTGCATGACCCTTACTCGTCTCGAACGATGCACCGGATTCTTTATAGTGCACATGCAGGGGTGGCGCCAGGGCCCCCTGTCGGGTAGAGCTGCCCCCCCCCCGCCCCGTCGGGGAGAAAAAGCACAATTCGTCGGGGAGAAACAAAGATTATGTGTATTTTCTACATATTAGTAGACTCCAAAATCGATTAAATAAGCTTTTGAAACCGGACCCCTAAATTATCAAAATTTTCGGGGCTTTGCACCCTGGACCACTTTCGAAGCCTATTAATCGAAGCTCGACCATGCCCACTTTGCTTTCGTCGGGGAAACTGACCCTTCTTCGAAAACGGAACAGTAGAGAAAATCCGATCAGAATGACAAAATAAACTAAGCATCCACTGGAAGGAATCCCAACATCTGCAGACGGATCCGTTTCGGCCTTCCAGGCCTCATCAGTGCAGCTAGGGTATAGACCCAGACCAGCTTAGGTAGGGCCCAAACTAGTCCCACGACCACTAATGATTACAGAACCAAACCAAGGCAATATATATATATATATATATATATGTATAAGAGACAGATACCATAGCAAATCAAATCATATTATATCGTATCATTGTCCTTTTAAATGTTATACAATATATAAAAATTAAAATTCAATCCAGTTTTATTAGAGTAGGGCATATTGTTGTATAGGTTTCGTTTCATTGTAAACACAACAATCATGACATGGAATGACTTAAAGAATACTCATGCAGAAATCAGTGGCGGTTTCAATTTATCAAAATTATAAAAAGAAATATGGAGAAAAATTAAAATTAAGTGTGAGAGTGCTATTTCCGGCCAAGGTGCCATAATCATAAATGCTCTTACGTCAGCCCCAACCATGGTGAGGCTGAGGTGGGTAAACCCACTATAAGTGAAAATCCCTCAATGGGCCCCTCAATTTCAAATTCCTGGACCGAAGCAATTGGGTTTGACAGAAAATTTAAAAAAAAAACAAAAAAAAAAAACAATAAACAAAATTACGTTAAGATCTCAAGCAAGGTGAGAGGGAACTATTGAAATGGGTGTGTTTTTAGATGGGCTTTGAACTGCCTAAGCGAATCGCAAGACCTGAGAAAATTAGGCACACCATTCCAAAGTTTTGCAGCAATTTAAGAAAATGATGTCACCAATACGTTTATGATGGGTCGAACCAATTGGAAAGTTGGAAGAGATATCGTTAAGCGCACATGAGCACGTAGGCAACCATTACCCTTTGTCGATGTGTTGATGTCAGACGCAATATTACGTCCATGTCACGGTTGTTTCATATGGCTCGCTACATGTACAGCTGGGGCTTTCTTCGTGTCTGTTTTGTTCTTAGACATCTGTGCCTAGGAAACGTATGCTGCAGGTCCCCAATGCATGAATACGTCCACAAACACACGTCAGTTATCATTCTTATATTATATTAATATGATAACCAATGACATCTGGTATGATAACCAATGACGTACCCTGGATTTTCAAATAGTGCGGGACAATATCAGGGGGTGGTCCCCCGGACCGATTTTGGTCCGGACCAATTGGCGTGACAGACATCAGGAATTCCTGATGATGACATAATTAATGTCGAAATATTTAATCCCAACACGATGGCATGTATTTCAATACTTGGAGTATGTATTATACTTTCTTACCTGAGATTAATCAGTGGACCTTTCAGTTTTCTTACATTTCACCAATTTTAAGCTAAATATGAATAATCTGGACCCATTTTTCAAAAAGTGGACCCATTTTATGCATAAATTACGATAATTTGGACACATTTTTAAAAATGTGGAACCATTAGACAAATTGTGTGGGACAGTCCCAATTGTCCCAATAGCTGGCTGCGGCATTGATGATAACAACTCAATAGTAATGGGGTTTTTGCCCAAAGGGATGTATTATCGCACTGGATACCAATACGCCCCCAAAACACGTGCAAATCGCACGTGAATCGGGTATTGAACTCACGACCCCCAGAACTAGCCTTGTAGGCCTACTATAATAATTAAACAACGTTTAGGCAGGGGTTTAATTCGATCACCAGGGTACTGCAATGATCAAGGGCGTCGATCCGTGGTTGAAAGTAGGGGGAACGAAATTCAAAATAGGAAAGCCTTTGGGCTGCAGGTCCAAACCTTGGTTGGGGCCGGGGGGGCTGCCTAGGAAACTCCCGGAATCTCTGGCACCTATAGCCTTTTATAAGTCGTATCTAATTGATTTTAAGGGATGCAATTAACTTTTATTTCATAGTTACCAACTTAAGAAATTTTAAATGCGTGACTACACTTCGCTGGGAGAGTGGGGAGGGGCCGCCGGGCCCAGAGCCGAACCCCCCGTGGTGGTCCAAGGCCTATGGCGCTCTGACGATCGCGATCTCAGCATTTTAAAGCTGTTTTAAAACGATTTCGGGGAGTATTTGCTGACAATACCGGTACGGTACATAAACAAAAATATTTTTAGTACAGTTTCAATGTACTTTATGTTTTTTTATATGTACACAAACATTTCATTACTTAAACAAAAAATGAACAGGCATACTGATCAATTTTTATTAATTCGTCAGTGAATTAAATATTCACATATTCAAGTTACTGCATGACCGTTTTTATATTTTTAATACACTTTCCCATATATTCGTTATCACGCATAGACCTGTGTTAAATGCGTGACAAATTTATGATCACGCATGTGTTTCTGAAAAATGCGTGTTTCATCTAAAATCACTTTGAATTGCGGGACCGTCTCGAACGATGCGAGACGGTTGGTCAATGTTATTTCCACACTACATTTTCAAAATACAGTGGCGGATCCAGAAATTTGAAATAGAGCTGGGCCCAGGAACGTTTACAGATGGAGAGTGTAGACCACCTCAGCCCCAACATGGTTGGGGGTGAGGTAAGAAAATTTATGATTATGACACCTCTAGTTGGTCGGAAATGGCACTCTCAGATTTAATTTGAATATAATTTTAATTTTTCTCCACTTTTAAATTTTGAAAAAAAAAGTTAGTGAATTAGAACTTGAATTAGCCTTATGTGTGGTATACCACACATAAGGCTAATACCACACATAAGGCTAATTCAAGTTAGACGGCTTAAACCAGCCAACTTCCTATTCCTATATCCTGGTAACAGTTAAAATTTCTTGACCAAATAACGTTATTTTAACTGCCATTCCCTAGTATTGTGGTCCAAAAGCACATTTTGGACTATACTAAGCCATAAAAACCCCGTCAACCCTACAAGGGCGTTTTTATTCCGGGCCGTCGAACCAGGTGCTTCGTCGGCTCCTTGGTTCGGACCCCTCCGTCGGACATGTCGGACCCCTTGTCAGCAAATTTCTGGCGCCAACACTGGTTATCGCGCCGAATTCTCAATACGTCCCTAATATAAACACTTGATTGCACGTACGTGAGCAAGTTAGTAATTCGGCTGGGAATCGAACCAACAAACATAAGTAGTCTGAAGTGGTGGCGCCAGGATTTCCCCCGACGGGGATCCGCTGTCCCCGACCAAAAAGTGGTGGGGGTGGTCGGGCGTCGCTCAGAATCTCTCAAAAGTGTTCCATGGAGGCGAAGCCCCCGAAAAATATGACAATTTAGGGCTTTCAAAGGCTTAATTGATCGATTTTGGAATCTACTAATAGGGCCTAGCTATGTTAAAAATACATATACATTTTTTTCTCCCCGACGAATTGTGGTTTTTTTTCTCCCTCCATAAATAAACTGTGACACACACAAAATCCTGAATAAAGGTAGTTCTGGTATATACATAAAAACAACGCATGAAACAGTGGCGGTGCCAGGAATGGACTGATCATATAAGAGAAGTACGAATACTTTTGAATAATTTCATTAATGTAATATTAATAGGCTTTTATCTCTTCCTGACCGTATATGAAGAGCCTGAGACATACAGACCCGTACGCAAGGGGTGGTAGAGCGACGGATGCGTACTCTCCTTACCAGCTCCCACCGTCAACTATAATACTACTAAAGGTTCACATACAAAAATGTAGAACTCTAAGTACGCTTAAGTTCTGTACTATAGGCCTATCAAACAACAGTTAATATTCAAACTATTACAGTAAGGTCCTAGAGTCATTCATAAACATAATGGATCATTCATTAACATAATGGATCAGTTGTCTCTAAAAATATCCTGAATTCTCTTTCCAATCAATCAGGAATATTTCGAGGAGGAGCTGCTTATTAAGGCAGGGCCCGATGATCGTCAGCAACCGCTGTTTGTGAGTCAACCTCGGCAAATAATGTAGAATAAAATAATAATGTAATAACAATAGAGGCCTAATGTGTACAGGCCTACAATTTTTTATTCAGAGCTCATTCGTTACCAAGAGAAATTGCTTTTAAATTGTTTAAATGGATGAATGTGTCATATCTGGATATGTTTTAGTCAATATTGCATATTGTTAATAAAGCTCTGTCCAGATTATCAAATTTTCTTTGACATACTGTTGTATGTCCATACATAGTCATGATGTGCCTATATATGGTGCCATCATGACCATATTTAGGCATGTCACTTTTTTTAAATAAACGTTTTACAGCTTTTATAAGCGATCACAGTATGACCTGTCATAATTATTCTCGGAAGACAAACAACCGGGCCATGAAACAATTTCGAAACATCAGATGTTCTGAATCGATTAAATACGAGGTGGGAATCCAACGGGCCCCTGTACTTCGCCTCACTTTTCGCGGAACCTGCCCCAGCCAAATGTAGTTGTCACTGGAGTTCATAACGAACCAGTGTTAAACTTTCCTTTTGCTAAATTGCTCTACATTATTCTTCGCATTACTAAATCTGGTTCAGATTGACGGTATTCAGGGGAATATCCATACAAAAAATAAATCTAGGACTTTGGGGCATATGGCGTTTATCTTTAAATTAATAGTTGGCATACAAAATAAAGCTTTGCACACACTAGAGTCGATTGACGGTCGTACACGGCCGACGAATCTCTCCACTCTTCGCGAGCACTTGGCGACCGTCTGCTGATTATCGGATGTAGTCTGAACGGATCGCCATTAAAAAGTATTTGTTGTGCGCGCCTCATCGCAACTCTTAAAACATCTTTTTTTCTAATATTTTATTATTTAAATGTATTTTATCAGAACACTGTTACAAGTTCCACCATGTAAACAATTTTAGGAAATAATCCAAAGATTATTAATTTTTAGTTTTTAATTTTTAAAGCTTTCACCATAAATGGGTTTAAGATAACCATCATTAGGTAGGTAAGGTAAAGGAAATGTCTAGAGGGCAGCAAACAAAAAACTCCCTGTTGTTTCGTTTATCTGTAAATTGCTTTTTTAATGAAAATCATTTATTTTGTTGCCAATGCTCAGGGGTCCCAAGTTGGAAGATGTCAATTCCGGGAGCAGGGGTGGTGCCAGTGGGTAGGGGGAAGGCTTAGCAGGGCCCCGTCGGGGAGAAAACCACAATTCATCGGGGAGAAAAAAAAATATCAAAAGTACTGTATTTTCTACAAAGACTCTAAAATCGATTGCAGTAAATAAGCCTTTGAAATTCCTAATTTGTCAAACTTTTAGGGCTTCGCACCCCTGGACCACTTTCAATATATTTTAAGGAACTTCCGACTACGCACTTTGCATCACCCCTCTCCTCCCGGCGTCACCCTTGTCCGGGTGATCTGCTGTGGCGGATCCGAGTATAGGAGGGGGAGGCAGGGAAGGGCTTTCACAGATGTAGGGTCTATAGGCCTACCACCTTTGCCCCGCTATGGTTGGTTATGGTTATAGCACCTGTAGATGGCCGGAAATGGCACTCTCAGAATTGATCCAATCGTTAGTCACTAGCAATATTTGATCATTTTCACCATAATGACCCTTGATACTTTTGACCTATAGGTGAAGAGTACTTTTTTCATGTTGAATTCGGTTCAATCGCTTGCCATTAGTAACATTTTGACCTATGATCTTTGACCTATGGGTGATGAGTATTTTTTTCGTGTTTAGAAGGTCCTAATGCATCATTCCTGGTAAATTTGAGCTCAATTGGGCTATTTTGGAAAATGTAACTCCAATGACCCCTATGTGACCCCTGATCCCAGACTGGGGTGTAGGAGGTGTCACTGGTTTTTAATGACCAAATTTGATTGAGTTTGGTCCAATCGTTTGTAGCATTAGGTAGTTAGTAGCATTTTGAAATGTTACCAGATAGAAAAGAATAACCCTTTAATGACCTTTGACCCTAAATCGCTGAGCACCATAAAGACCCTACCTTATGCCAATATATATGTGCCCAGGACAAGACTGTGCTGTTATTTGTGACAGAAGACTTTCACTCAATTTAAACAATTTTTTTTACTCTAATGACCCCTATGTGACCTTTGACCCCAAGCAGTGAACACCCCATATATGAGAGGTGTCACCGGTTATACTGACCAGGTTTGTTTGAAATCGGGACAATCATTTGGCACTAGTAGCGTTTTGTAATGTAGGCAGAAAAAAGATAAAAATTACCCCTTATTGACATTGGACCCCTTATCCATGAACACCCTATAGACTCTGCCTTATGCCAATATGTATATGCGCGAAGGACAAGACTGTGCTACGTTATTTGTGAGAGAAGTAGTCTTTTATACGATTTTTAGTTTTTTCACCTCAATGCCCCTTATGTGACCTTTCACCACAAGTTGTGAACAAAACATAAATGGGAGGTGGCACCGGTCCTACTGACCAAGTTTTAATTAAATCCGACCAGTAGTTTGCCACTAATAGCCTTCTAAAATGTTGCCAGAAAGAAAGACAGAAGAATCTACATAGAAACAGAACCCAGTCAGCCTGCTGCTGATTGGGTAAAAAGACATCAAGAGGATTAGTTTTTAAGGTGTTCAACTAAATTTTGTTTAAAAATGGATATAGATTTCTAGGTGAAATAACAGATGGATAAAATGATTTAAAGACAGAGTGCGTCCAAACGGAACAACAAAGGAATTAGTATGATTTAAACGAGTTGATCGCCATCTGAGATTAACTAAGATACCAGGAGGGATATAACGAATTTTGAAAAAATTGGTGGGTGGGGGGAACTTAACAACTGAACTATCAGAATAGAGCCAAGCATAATGTGCTTTTCCCACAAACAAGTTTGATTGATACTCCTGAATGTTAAAGTAGTCAAAAGGTACAAATGATTATGAATTATTGTGCTTTTATTGTCAAATAATGGTAAACTGTTATGACATTTTGTTTGATACAATATGCCTATATAAATAAATAGATCAATAACTTAAATACATAACTAAATACATAGATACAAGACAACAAATCAATAAAGACATCAAGTTGAATTACAGTAAACTTACCACATGTCTATCGAAGCCTCTGATTGGTTGAATTAAAGATTTATTTAATATATAGAAATTACTGAAGATAACTGTTAACATTGGCAGTGTTTCTAAAGCACTGAATTATTGGTAAAAAAAGTCATCTTTTAAGTATCTGATAACGTTCCACTCAGTAAGTTTTATAAAGAAATTTAGTTAATAAAGCATCGTTCCATCTTGTAATTGGTGGGTTTCTTGATGTTGAATGTGAATGAATATTATTTAAAATCAACCAATCACAGATGTTCAATTTTGGCATGAAGCTACGCGGTATTTCCAATCACAAATGCGACCATTGAACCCAGTCCCTCTTGTACATTGACGATGATGAGCTAAGAAATGAGCGCAAATGTAGAAAAAGCTACAATCAGTTGGATCGACATAAAATCCAAAAGACGTCGGACATTGGAAGACTGAAAGAGAATTAAGAAATTAGTGAGAAAAATTAATGAGGTTTTATGACAATAGCACCAAGGTAAAATTTAAAATGGACTTATCAAATAATATTACATTAGCAATGAAAAATTCGCCCACCCAAAAATACTGACGAAGTATCGAAATGATGTCATATTATATGGTAACTGTCTCTTATACACATCTCTCAATTTAAACAATTTTTTTTACTCTAATGACCCCTATGTGACCTTTGACCCCAAGCAGTGAACACCCCATATATGAGAGGTGTCACCGGTTATACTGACCAGGTTTGTTTGAAATCGGGACAATCATTTGGCACTAGTAGCGTTTTGTAATGTAGGCAGAAAAAAGATAAAAATTACCCCTTATTGACATTAAATCCACCGTAGTATATTACCTCCGGAAGTGGGAATATCTGGTGGACCCTGGGTCACAACTGGATCTGGTCGTGCCTGGGTCACAACTGGATATGGTCGAGCAGGTGTCCCCATTGGATCTGGTGGAGCTTGTGTCACTACTGGATCTGGTCGAACTGGTGTTACTACTGGATCTGGTCGAACAGGTGGCACAACTGGATCGGGTCGAACCGGGGGAACCACTGGAACAGGAAGAGGGGGTACAACTGGACCTAGACGCAAGAATATCAAAGTTAAAATAACATGCAGAAAAATGACTTGTGTATAACTTGCTCAATACAGATGTCATCACTGAAATTCAGAAACATGTGAATATAATGCACCTGTAAATGGAGCAAAGCAAATATGAACTGGGATGTGGGAATCATACCAGGGACCTTCAGAATACAGGGGCGGATCCAGAATTTTTCAAAAGTTTTTTCGAAAGAAGGGAGAGGGGTGCATAACAATTTCAGAATAAATAAGTGAGTAGTGCTAATTTTAATACATAACATTGGTATTAGAATTTTAAAATTTAGTGGCAAATGGGGGCCCCCTACCCACTATTTAATCCACGCCTGGAATAAACAGAAGGTTAAAAATGCATAGTGTTGTCCAGTAAGTATGGTAATTCTCTGGGGATTCAGATAATATGAGGTGATATACTGTACTCCAAGTGTGGTTTTTACTTTGCTCCAAAAATTTCTCTGGGGAATGCATTCCCCTTCCTCATCAACCCCCTCCCTATGTTTTTTTAGGGCCTATGATAAATCAGGCTACAGTCTACCTTGTTCACTAAGCTCTTGCTTAATGGCGTTGATAAGCGGAAATCTTCCTTGTCCACATCCTCTCCCAGAGAAATCATCAAGATCAAGTGACCAAACCATCACCCCACCTAAGTTTTCAGATTTTACCCACTGGAGCTGAAAGTAGAAACAATTATTAATTTATTTACTTTTAATTTTACTGAGGTACACTCAGCATTAAGTAATTGGTCCCACAAGAGCCCATTCATGCATTAATTTTTTTATTTGGAGACACTACACATTTGAATCGGTGGCACACACAGTCAGTGATGCGGTCTTGCAGAGTACACAAGAAAATCCTGATATTTGCAAAAACCGAAATCCAGGACTCTCAAATTAAGATTCAATAAATTACAAACATGAAAGAATATAAACTGAAAGGTCCACTGATTAATCTCAGATAAGATAGTATAATACATACTCCAAGTATCGAAATGCATGCCATCGTGTCACAGTATCAATAAATAAATGATTTTTGTATCCATCAATCTCTTGTAATTTTTTTCTGTTTTACTGCATGAAAAAAAATTGTAACCACACACATATTATATGCCAATCTCGCATTCAACATCTAGTAACTTTTTTTTTTAAATGCACATGTTTTCACTTACAATAGTCCTAAAGCTGTCTGTATTGTGATATCCGACCCACTGTGTTCCTTTGTAAGCGTAAGGCGCCATGATGGATGGGCTGTACACAGACGTACCACCACTTGATATCATCTGACAGACCTACAAAAGAAATTGGGCAACATTCAGTGATGGATACAGGAATCCAATATAGAGAGGGGACAAGGTGGACATTAGAAAGATAGAGGCCCCAGATCACCTCAACCTCACCATGGTCAGGGCTTATGAATTTTATGTCTATAGCACACAGGAAATGGCACTTTCTCAGACTTGATATTTTAATGTAATTTTAATTTTTTTTTAATTTGGTGTGGGAGAGGCTGGCTGGGCATACTCATATTCAATCTGCCCCAACAAAAGATAATTAACAAAACCCACATAGTCCCACATTCAATTCAGAAGTTGCTGATATGATAATACACACAGAGGTTCCAACCCTCTCGATTCGATCAGGAGTCTCACGAATTTACATGCTATCTTTAATTCTCCAGAATTTCAATAACTAGGCCTAGATTTGTTGTACTTACAGTATAACCAGCTCATTTAACATACGGCCCGTAAAAAACATGGGATTCGTACGGTAAAATAGATGAAATTACAAGGCCATATGAAAAACCCAATAGGTATCTTATAAAATTACGTATACAGACCTCGAAAGACATTAATGCTATCAGAATATTTCAATGCTGAGGGTGCTATTCACTAAATGGTGGGAATGGGGGATGCCCTTCACCTGCACATTCTCCCAATTTTTTAGGTCTAGGGGTTGGAACCTCTGTACACAAGACGAGCCTTGTTTAAAAATGGGACAAGAGGTATCTAAAACCCTGTCCAGACTATCAAATTTTATTTGACAAAAACATGTGACATGCCTAAATATGGACATGATGACATCACATCATGACCATATATAGGCACATCATGACTATATATAGGCACATCATGACCATATATAGGCACATCATCACTATGTATAGGCGTGCAACAGTTTTCACAAATTATAGTTTTCAATGATTGAAAGATGTTGCACAATGTAAATCCTTAAATTTGCTGCTAGAAATTCAAAGGTAATAATGGCATTACAGGTCTCCCTCCAATTAAAGACCACTTTTGAGGCTGGTGTTTCCATGGTCTTTAGCAGCTTTGGTCTCTAATTAGAATAATAAAGATAAAAGACATTTGTTAATTTGGGATCACAGAAAAGTGGTCTTCAACTGGAGGGTCCTTTAATTAGAGGGAGACTTGTACTTATCATTTATTATAATTGACAAGGACATTTATTTCTCATTTGGTTATTCAGTTAAATGCTAATTAATTAGTAAATTATACAAATTAGGCAATTAAATTTATAAAAATTTTACTTTTATGGAGTGTACTTTTACATATTTGTTCATTTTTGGTAGTGGAATATGGAAAATCCAAGTTCTCACCTCATAATAAGAAAGAAAACCAGCCTCTCTTGTGTGTCTTCCTGCTAGGCCACCACCTTTCACAGGGGCTCCTAAACGCGTGTCCCCACCAGACAGGGTAAATGATCTTCCGTATGTTGCCATTCCTATCACAAGCTTGTCTCTTGGTGTGCCCCCATCAAGCCATTTTTTTGCAGCCCATTTCTATTCAAAAAATTGTAGAGAATGGTTAAATTATATGTCGCTTCAACTTAATCTAAAGCACTTTTCAATACAAAAAAATTCTATTATATAAGTTTTTTTCCTTAATTTTTAACTTAATATCAGGTTACATAATACAATATTTAGTTAATAACCATAAGATACCACATCTGCTATATAATCATATTTAGGTTGATTACGGTATATTGGTGACATAATACAATGTTTGATTAATAACTGTTTTTTGGGTTGCATAATCCCACATTTGGAAGAGAGAAAAAAGTTATTTCATACTATTGTAAGTTTTCCATTTGCAGTGCCTGTGTCGTGGGAATAGAGGGCGCTGTGATGTCCAGTGCTTCTGTCCCAGCTTCCATGAAAATCATACGACAACAATCCAACCCAATCCAATTCTCTGCAATGTGTAATGTACACAAAAAATGTAGAAATTATAATCATTCACAGGATTTACAAAATTTAACAACAAAATTTTAGCAAGTCAATCTAGAGGTAACTGAATTCAACTTTTTATTCAGTCTCATCACACTTAATCTAATATCAGATTTTGTTTCAACAGAGCCACAAAGTATATTAATATTGAAATGAGGTTGAACATAATATTACTTTTTTATTTATGACATTTAATATTTAATGTGATAATGACTTTTATAATGAAAGAAAATACTGTACATGTAAATGATTTGAACATGTGATAAGATTTTTTAATTTTTGAATAAAGGTGTGCTACCCACACAAAAGAGAAAAAAAAAATTCCAAATGCATCAAGATACAGGTCAAGATGACACACTGTAATAGTTTTCTTTAGATTATAATTCTTTTGTTTCACCTCATCTCTGTTCATTAACAATTCAAATAACAAAAAATTTAAAGCACCTGCAGATCATACTCATATTTAAATACATTTTTAATTCATAAGGATACCCTAGTGCTAAGTAATGTAGATATGAACAAAAAATCCTATTATGGGTTCTCTTAATATTTCAAAAGAATTAAATAAAGATGGCTCAGGGAAAATACAAATGGAGGGTTTAGACAAGCTCAAACCCACCATGTTTGGGGCTGAGGTACGGAATTTTTATGGCTATGGCACCTCTTTTCTAAATTTTATTCAACTTAATTCAATTCAATATTTATTTGCACCAAAAGCCATCAATGGGCTATTATGCACTATACAAGGTACAGTAACATTTAAGACTAATTTTAAACATTAAAACGAGAGCTATAAAATAGCAAAAGAACCATTTAAATCCGACATTTTGTTATGAAGTTACAAGCGTTTAAACATACAGCTGTTTAAAGAATAATATTTGAGAAATCAGCCTTCAAAGTTTATGATTTTGGGCATTTCGCTGGCAGAAACCATCACTAAATCCTTAAAAATTTTTGTTTTAACATAAAAAATAGGAAAAATAACAGCATGGCATGATGTATACATATATAAAGGTTAGTTTAGTGTAATAAAATATATTTCAAAAATGTTGACATTCCAGCACTGTGTTTTGATCATTATCTCTGAAACACGATTTGCGATGAGTGACTGGTTTGGATTGTCTTTGCTACATTTACATTCATTTATGTACAGTTGTAATAGCCAAAAAAAAATTAATGATAATAAAAAAATTAAACAAAGATTTAAAAAATGTAGGGGAGGCCTTATATTTAGTCTGCCTAAACACTATCGTAGAAGTGGTTGGCGCATCGGTTGTGGTTTGGACTCCCAACCTCGAGGTCGGGGGTTCAAAACTCTCGCTGTGCAAGTCGCTTGTGTCCTTGGGCAAGGCACTTTATCTACGGCTCTGGCTAGTTTGGCAATTTCATATCCTTTGTTAATCTTTGCTTCACCGGCAGACACTGCTGCTGCTAGCAGTAGTCGATCTTTCCCGGCTGGAACAGGTTCTGCATTATATGCTGCCCTCAATTCCTGCACGATTTGGGAGAATATAACTTAATCAGTCAGATAGCAGATACATACAAAACAACAATAACATAGATCTTTGCCAAGCACATAGAACACAAAAATTGACTGGTTTTGTTCAGGGTAGGCTTATTTGCAGGGGAATCCCCCTTTTTTTTTCAAAAAAAGATTTCTCAAAACCGACGGCATGTCCTCTAATTTGTAGGGATGGTCAATCAAATGGCATTTTTTCAACACTGCATGTTTAATTCAAAGCCGATCCTTGACTTTTTCTGAAAGTAATTGTAAAAGTGAGCTCAGTTACTCCTTCAAATCACAGCCTGGGCATTTGCAAGAGAAACACTGGCACATGAAATCAGGTGTAAAGTAGGGGTGAGATTTATAATAATAATATTAACAATAGCAAACAACAATAAAAATAAATTTTAATAATAATTGTAAAAAAAAACCTTATTATAGTATTAACAATGATAATCATTATCATCATAATCTGTATATTATTGACAATAGCAAGAATACTAATAATATACAATAACAATTGTACTAATAATAATATTAATGATAATTTAAAGATTAATATTTAGACATAGATAATAATATATGGATTCAAGTTGTCTAAATTCAACTAATTAATGAAACTGAAATTATATAATAAAATGCATGCACAAATCTAAAATACCTGGACTAGGGTGGTAAAACGGTATTTGTCTTGAGATGGGCTACCACGGTCAGCAGGGTATTCCCAATCTATGTCCAAACCGTCAAACCCATGCTTTCTCAGAAATGAAATACTTGTGGTTATGAATTGGCGACGCGATGATGATGTTGCCACCATTTTGGTGAATCCAAGGCTACCAAAAGTCCACCCGCCCACAGCCAACAAAACCTTCAGTGATGGGTTCTTCAACTTGAGGTTGTTCACCTAAACCACACAGAAAATTTATTATATTATTCACATTAGAAGATGTTGGCATTGGATTCATTCTGACCAAAGCAAAGTGTAATTTTAGCATGGCAAAACAACAGATAGTGGGATTTTGAGCATCCAGTCTAAACATGGATACATTCTGGATCCCAAAAACATGAGATGGACAAGAAGAATGTAGACAGATGTGTTTCTGTTAATAAAAAATAATTTGAAAGTGGAATATCATAATTATTAAAGTTTTCAAAGGATCTTCACCAGGCAATGACTGGTTTGTTAGACGTTGACATTTTTGCTTACAAGAATTATTCCACTTTCATATATAATAAAAAAAATATAAACAAAAAAAAACAATTTATAAAAATACGAAAAAATGGCACAACAAAATGATTATGCACAATCTCTGCATATTCACATTCCGCCACCATCCTAGTGCCATGCCGGACTACTCCTACCTAGGTGGTTGAGCGAAGAATGGGATACACGTTTGCCCTGCCACAGAAGAACAGGTGGTTAAAGATAGTGGCCAAGACAGGGGCCCCAAGATGCTAGAATAATTGCAAAAATATCTTGATAATAATAATTTTTAAAAAAATTAATAATTCAACTTGTTACCTTATCATACATGCCGACACTCCAAGCAGTTGACTCATCGTTCCATTCGTAAGCCTGTAAAACGTTTCCGTACCCAATCTTTGCAAAAGCATAAACAATGTGCGTGCACAAATAGGGATCAACGTTCTCTGGCAGGAACTTGGAGACACTTGAGGTTCTGTATTGCGACCAATTTGTATAATAACAAATGCGACGGTACTCTTTTGCTTCTACATCTTTATAGGAAAGTATTTGACAACATAAAATTTAATAAAGGCTGATCCTTGCTATTTATCACAACATTGAATAATTATAGTAACAGATGGTGAGTTTAGTCCAGTATAAAGAATTGGAACTTTTGGTAGAAGTGAGATTGAGCCCAAAATCTACAAATGCCATATTTGCATGTGTCCTTTGGTAAGGAACTTCACTCTAATTACTTGGCCTTTGATTGAGATGCTAACCTGTTGGCCCTTCTTTTGTATGCACAAGATACAACACATCACATTGTCCACAAAAGTAGAGATATATTGCTTTTTTGTGTATGTGCACAAAATACAATGCAGTACACAATTAAAATAAGTAGAGAACTATGTGTTTGTGTAATGACCAGGGTAGCCAGTGCTGGCCCTTATGAGCCTCTTAATTTCCTGGTGAATACAAATTATTTGGCAATTTTATAGTTTTAAATCTAATATAGCAATACGTTATTTAATTACACTATTTGGGAAAAAAATACCATAGATATTTACTCACCGTAGAAACTTGTCAACAATGCCAACACAAAGATGATCTGCCAACTGTATTCCTAGTAAAAGTAGAAAAATGGTTATATGAAAGCACAAAGAAAGCAAAATATGCAAACTATAAGAATGCTTTTTAAGAGTAAAGGTATTGTGCCTGTGGTTAAATAAAAAGAAATCAAATTTTATTTTTTAATTCAATGGAACATTGAATTGAAATTTATCAGCTTTCAATGACAGATACATCAAAATAATACAATTTTCACTGATCTGCAAACATAGTAAAAATCCTTAAATAAATTGATTACCAGCTGATTTAAGAGTAAATAAAAAGAATATATAAGAATATTGGTACAGTAATGTTTGTGCATCTGTGTATTGAATAAACAATTTTCTTGTTCTAATTATCAATAGAAAAATGCTAAAACTTACTATTAAGCAACTTTTTAAAATATGATCAACAAAAGAAACTGTTAAGCACTGTACTTTTATATTGTAAACTTGTAATAAAGATTGCTTTTCACTATATGACATTAAGCTAAGTAAAATAAACCAAACTTTTTAATTGTAGCAACTTACACTTTATTATTAAATATACTGAAATCAAATTAATTTACACTTACAAAATTTATAAAAGTAATAAAAGGTTATCTGAAAATGTTATAACATGCAACATAGTACATTACAAACATCACTTTCAGATGAAAGTGGACAGATATTTTAGAATCCAAATTTACATATAAAATAAATCTTGTATTTATTAAGTGTATTGCTATTTTTGCTATTTTGTATTAAATTAAATAATAATTTAAATATAAAAACAATTAAAATTGTGTCTTACCATTTTTAAGGTGTGCACAAGAATCAACTAAGTTGTAACCGTTGCTACAGGCAGCCTGGAAATACACTAGACTCAGGAGTAGATCTTTGCTTTTATACCATCCTATTCCCTTAGTAAACTATTGGTGAATTGTTGTGGTATTTAAGCCAATCGAATGATTAAACTCGGAAGAGATCACAAGGAAAGACAGGATCAAACAAATTAGAAAGGAATATTTATAAGATAACTTCTTAATCCATAATTGAACTGTGGATCACTGTCATTCGATTATAAATGACAAAATAGATGTTACATGTAACAAGTTGGTACAATTATTCACAATAGGGTTGCGTCTTATTTTTGGAGATTATTCTTCTCAAAGATTTCAAATAATAAGGTGTGATTTAAGTTGTGGGTAATGACACAAAATATTAGTTTAGTACAGAATCCTAGAGACACTTGAGATGAGGTTAAATAATTACAGTTAACAAAGAAGCACAACAGTATCTTTGTTGTGTGGTGGTTCTGAAGCAGACCGGATGATACCTGGTTAGTTTTTACAAACTAACAATGAACAAATTATTTTACCAATTCACTATACTGAACATCATTGATATATTTGATTACACTATAATTCTAGTAAATCTGGTCAGTAAAAAAATACTGTTCTATAATAATGATGATGGGATAATGATGACGATGATAATAATAATAATGATAAACTTATATAGTCGCAGAATGCCGGAGCTTCAATGCACTTTACGTTAAATATAAAGAAAAATAAGAATTTCCCCTCACTGCAATCTTAACTCATAACTCATAACATGTTCACAAACATTCTTTTTGAATTGAAGATAAGCATTAAAAATAGGAAAAGGCAAATTTGTACACATATTCTAGGGGGTCACTAACCACCACCATTCTGGCGTAATCCTGGACCTTTGCCTAGCTGGTTCGAACAAAGAAACAGGACACATTGTCCTGCCACAGACGAGCAGGTACTCAGAAACGGTGATCGAGACAGTGGCCACCTAAAGATAAGTGCAAGACTGACCAAGGGAAAATATAAACATATTGATTAAAGAGTATCATACTCTACAGTATTACAACTCAAAACGTAAGTCTTAATGTGTTGTTTAAAAAATAAATCAATATGTCTAATGAACTCAGAAATACTATTCCAGAGATGAGGTGCTGATACAGAAAAGCTCTGTCATCGTATGATCTAGTGGACCTGCTGGAGGTATGAAGGAGAGCTTCTGATGAAGACCTCAGACATCAAACTGGTTTATGTGGTGTGATTAGGTCTGATATGTAAATGAGTGCTGTAGTCCTCAAAGCTTTAAATGCAAGGAGTAATATTTTGAAATGAATCCTTTGTATGCAGGGCCCAGCTTTACAGAAAAGTTAAAAAATACAAAATTAAATTTGAAGAAAACAGTTATGAAAATTATATAAGAAGCTTAGTAAATAATACTTGGTAAAAATTTTTGGGGCCCCAGATATTTGTCAAGTGCAGGTTCAATGGTCAAGCTTCTTAGCTTCTCCAAACTTGATGGGGATGCTTCAATACTCAATTCCGCTTTTAAACTCAACAATCCCAGCTTCCAAACTCGGGGCCTCAAAACATACATTGTCCAAATCCAAATGGACTGTTTCCATTGCATCTAAACTTGACTTTCTCCAAAAAAAATTCTTGGCCCAGCTTCCAAACATAATTTCAACCGGTCCAAACTGAATGAACATCAGCCATATAATCATGCAGATACCTTTACTGGTTGTATTTTCCACAATTCCTAGAAAAACAAACGTTTGATAAAATAACGAATCGTTAGAATTCCTGCAGAAAATGAAGGTAAAGTGGAGGAAGGAAATGAGCTATAGAAAAAATCCTCATTAAAATAAACTTAATATTTATTACAAAAATCTATTATATTATTAACTCATGTAATTTATTAATTACATTTATTTTTAATCTTTAAAATAATAACCCTCATTATAAATTTATCAATAATTTTATTAATTAATATCTCATTTGTTTAGATTAATGTACAATACATAATTTTAAAAGTGATAACAATATTTGAGTCTCCAAAAATATATAATTTCAATAAAAATATTCTCTATAATCATTCTCTTCAAAATAATTATTTAATAATATTATAAAGTGTTTCTTTGAAGGTTGCCTCCAAAGGCATAAAAACACTAGGACAGTCAGCTTTATATTGATAACATATTAGCAAATGTTTTCTGAAATTAAGTACAGAACATGTAGATAGAATATAAAGAAATTTAAGGCATTTACCAGCTCCATTAAGTACCATAAAAAACCACTCCACAAAATTACAAAACTTTGTATTGAAGAGGAATTTGAACATCACCATCATCAATAAAAATGGAACAGGGGTTTAAAATACATTCTTTTTATTGTTTGTCTTTTACGAAATCAATTTTAATAAATTACAATTTCATTAATTTCAACCCAAGGTACAATGATTCTGTGGTTTTGAAACACAAAGTTTCCTAGAACTACAATGTTTTTGAAAAATATAGAATAATAATTCTGTTAAACAAACCCTGCTTACTAATTTTCCTTGTTTGTTGAAACTCCTGCTGAGGTTACACATTTATTATTAATCAGTCTTAGTACCTTAAGTAAGCTTATCTTCAATTTGCGCAATGTGCCGGCTTTAGGATACAGGTGCTTTTCTTTTATTTGCCATTTTACTATATCTTTGTCTTGTTTGACTATTATGAATTAAATATAAGATTTTGTTATAGGACACTTACCAATTGTTTTGTTCTTTGGTATGAGAACCGCTGTTTAAATTCTATAGGAATTTGCTCAATTTTAAAAGTGTTCTCTTTGGCAATCTTTGATGCCAATTCATTCATACATGCTCGGAAAAAATCATATTCCTTGCAAGTAACATCCAAGTCTTCCAACGTGAAATTCAACCTTGGAAGGAAAATCAAGGAATTTAAAGTGTTAATGGTTGATCATTTCATTGCAAATTCAAGTCCAGTACAAACTACTTCACTTCAAATCTTAATTCAGCTATATTGCCGCTTCTCAATTGAAAAGGGCATTTACTTGAGTGGTATTGGATTGTACAATTGGTTGGATTATCTTTGACCATCTTTTTACCGGCACTTGACCAAGAATATGCAAAAGTGTGTATTTTAGTACCGCCAGACATGACCGACTTTTGTATCTTAAAACGTTGTTCGAGTTGACATGTATGACCTCCAAAGGTCATGCAAGACCCAGGGAAGCTGATGCTTCAATAAAGCAAGAGCTGTCCACAGTATCAAATTTCATGTGACAAATTATGTACGGTGCCCATATATGGGCATGATGATGTCATATTACACCCAAATATGGGCATATTACACCAAATATGGGCATATCAGTTATTTGTCATAAAAAACTTGATAGTTTGGTCAAAGCTTTACTTAATATTATGTCTTTAATAGTGAAACTTGCTATCAGTGAGGCCACCTCTTTGCTCCCCTAAGGTCCCAACAGAGTTGGAAGAATCTCATTCAATCATTCATAATAAATATCACAACAAATTTAAATCAGGATTTAAGGCTCCACCCTTGTCAACTTCAAAACTAACTTTGACAGAGGATTAAATAAGCACATTTCCTGAAGACAATTTCTAAAGTTTTGCATATCCTTGACATCCCCTGCTCAACCTCAAATGTTTTGAATTTGTCACTTGTTGGAAGATTGAAAACAATAATCACCTTTTCTCAGTAGCTATGTAGACTGCCTTTAAACACTCACTGCCACACATGACTTCAAACAATTTATTGAAAAAAGCTTCTGTCAAGGTGTTGTCATAAATTACTATAAATAGTAGAAAAATATTTCAAGAAATTATATAGGCATAACAAACCCAGCAAAGGGTGGTGGGGTGGGTGGCAGGGGGGAGGATATAGATAACAGCCACAACCTTCATATACGGTTATATTTTACAAGAAAGGAAATAATTGTATGTCATGAATTAGAATAGCTTAAGATTAAGATTGAAAATCATTGCCTTCTACTACTGTAGGAGCTAAAACTAAGACTTTGAACAGCTGGCAGCAATTATTGCAAAACGATGTTATTTTGTTATTTTTAATAATACTATTAATGATTGTTCGAGAAATGAGATGTGCATTTTTTTAAGAGAAGAGAAGAAAAGCGAAAGAAAGAAATCATTTCTGCATGCAAATTCTGTAACAACCATCATAACAACTAGGATGTCCTCTTTCAAAAACAATTACATTTTATGTTTCTTTTGACAACATTGATGCTTCTATTTGGTACGCGTAAAATTGCTGAGAGCGCTATTTGTTATTAAAAGACCTTTGCTGCTAACCTCTGCCACTAAAATTGTGAAGTACGATGATTGACTGGTATTACACTCAAGTAGATATTGGAACTAGGATCAAATATAATCCACGTTGAAAGCAGTAATCCCCTTGCAACTTGGACAGTGACCAACTTCATGACAACTCACCTTTCGTTCACCTTTTAACAATTACAAACAATTGCTTAAATTCATCACCACAATGACTGCACATGACACAAGACTTATTGATTAAAGGCAAAAGCAACAATAATTCACAAGATTGTATTTCTCAACTAATCTGCCTAAATCATAGATTAAAGAGATAATCTCTTCTGTAAGTGTAGTACAAGTAGACCATTACTACCAGACCAACCACAACAAACAATAAAGTGTACCAAGTTTGAAAATGTTCAAAAGAATAAGATGACTTTACAACTTCAGTATTTGACCTTACAAACTAGACACTTAAAAACTTTCCCTTTTGGACAAATCATTAATCTTCAATCTTGTATTAGGATCAGAAGTATTATTAAAACTCTTTCATTGTCTGAATTTTTAAATGTTTCCGGTTTGTGATCTGATGCTTTCATTCTTAAGTCCACAAATCCCAAATACATATCTCTATGATTGCAAAAATAAATTAAAGATATATAAATTTAAGCATGCTAAGAATATGTTATTTACTTCCAATTTATACAATTATATTATTAAAGCATGGCAGTCTAAACTTTAGACAACTATATAACCTATATTATTATATTATTATAAGATTTTAAGATTCATAGAGCGCACATGTTCAGGAGACTGCTCAAGGTGCTTTTTTCCCTGGTTATTGGATTTGGAATCTATCATACACAACACCTCCTCCACTCCCTGGGGAATATTCCTAGTTATGCGTGTAATTAGCACTACTAATTTCATTCCGAATCATTCAAATCCTACCAGGTACACATTTAAAATCCTGGGTGAAGGAAGGCAAATGCAGATAAAGTGTCTTGGCCAAGGAACCAAGCAGTGTGACGAGCATCAGTCTCGAACCCAGCGACCTTCCAATCAAAAGTCCAATGCCTAAAGCCGGTTACTCACTGTGTGCAGCGGCGACGCGACGAAGAACGCATGTGAAGACGCAGACCCAATGGATCGTTCAGATTGACAATCAGCAGACAGCGTTGCTTCGTCTATCGCTTGCCGGAAGCAAATGTGGATTCGTCGTGTGAGTGTCCAGCTTTACATGCTGCGCCACATGTTAACAACTATAGATGTCTCAGGTGTCAACAGTACTATTTTCAACATTAATTTCTCAAGTAAAATCACATCTATAGTCACAAATCCACAAAACCAGCCATAAATTCAATGTAAGAAAATGGATTGGTCATGCTAGAACTATACAAAAATGTTCTTACTGTATCTATCAAAGCATTTTTTAGCTGAATAAGTTTATTTTATAAAAAACTTACCTGTATTTAATTGGTTCTACATTTCTTAGAATGGCTAACGTCATATTTATTATTACACAATGATGGTTCAAAAAATTTGCCCACAAAGGTTCATGAACCAAAGGGCCACCTAGAGCCTCGATCAGGGTCCTAGAATATTATGATTATTTTATGGTTTAGAATGGCCTGAATATTATCGTTCATGGGGAGACATTTTATATTTATAACGGCCAAAATTGCGATTTTAGACCAGAATTTTATGGACCAGAAATACAATATTGAACTTTATTTGGATCAGTAAATTAATATTTTTAGTCCAACAAAACTATTGTGGCGTCGGATTGGGTGGGGGGGGGGAGAATCTCTACGCTTGTCCGATGGGGAGAAATTGTCCCGACTCCACTGGCGTTGGAACTATTACAGTAATTATTAGTGTTAGACCTCTTGCATAGCACAGTGCATCTTAACTGCCTATTAATTATGCATGTTGATTTTCACTGCTAGCCAATCGTCTTCAGCTAGTAATCCAGGGATGCAAATAATAAGCCACAGAATATTTCGCAACAATAAAAATTATTGCTATACTTTAACCACTTGGTGGCATGTATCAGCTAATTTAACACTGGAATGAATACACCAGTTACACTTATACTCATTATATAAAAATTGCATTCAGTTTAAAGGGCTTTTCTACAACCACAACATCCCCCTGCAAACCCACAATTTACCCTACGGTCAAAGGAAGACAATACGTACCATCAGCAGCAATAATGAAATCCAGCCTGGACAGAATGCTAAGTTCATGTTTCTTCCAGTAGAATCTATTGCTGGTTCCAGCAATTTCCAAATCACCAGTCTTCTCACTACCTTTACGAGATACATGATATTAACAAATTACATTTTATATGAATGGTTTAGATACAATACATAACATACTGTAAAATGTACAATTTATATACATTTACACAAGCCTATAATGTTTTGTCTGAAGTTTTTTGTTAGTAGTAAGCTATTGCTCACCCTAAAGAAATTTTCCAAAAGTACAGATTAAACTGATGATGGATGAGAAATCTTTGCTGTCACTTTATGAAATGAAATACACTAAAAGCTGTATATATAAACTAA